ATAAATAATCAAACAACATATTCAGTTTTGCTGAACATTTATTAAAGAACATCCTCTTTAACAAATTGAGCACATAAAGCAGGATGAACTGATTCCTAGGCTATTCAACTGACATAAGGAAGTGTCAGTGTCATAACATGGCACATCAACAGCAAATGTTCTGCATAAAAAGGGTATGCCTCAGTCTGTAATATGCCAGGAGGTAGAGAAGCCCCTCGTGGAGCAAATCTTTCTCAAAGGTTACAACTGGAGTTGTACCTACAACCACCATGCAGTTCTCCTCACCAGCAAAACGGGACTAGAAAGCACACGCCAGTGGACGAAGGTATCAGGGTCCTCTGAGGGCTAGAAAACCAAATATATAAATACAGAATTTAGACTACAAACACAGCAAAAAAGCAAAATAAGTAGTCAAGTCACCTTCATTTATATAGCGCTTTTAACAGTATAGATTGTTTCAAAGCAGCTTTACAGTGACAACAGGAGATTAAGTAAGGCAGACAAATAATATTTGCTGAATATTAATTGTCCCCAACTAAGCAAGCCAAAAACCAAGGCAACAGTGGCAAGGAACCAAAACTCCATCAGGTGACAGAATGGAGAAAAAAACCTTGGGAGAAACCAGACTCAGTCGGGGGGCCAGTTCTCCTCTGACCAACGAAGGAACAGTGCATGATTCGGGCAGCATTACAAGTCAGATTGGATCGGAACATTTAGAGTATTTATCCATTTCCATCTTTTGGAAGTCCCAAGTAATCACGCCGGTATTAAGACGAGTTGTTGAGGATCAGTGCCGTCCACCATAGAGAGTCCATATCGCCCGTGTTGAGTCGTCACTTCATAGGCTTTGTGATTGGGGCATCTGAAGTCTCCGTGAGAGGCTGGATACAAACTGGAGCTGACGAACGCCATTTTCTCGGGACTCGCGTCCCGAGATAACAGCAGAAAAGCAAAAAGGGAAAATAATTAGCGTAGCTGCTGTTCATAATGATGATTTCCATAACACAGGCGTAAATGATAAAACATGAAGACAGTGACTCTTGCGTCCCAAAATCACCCCCCTTCGTCCCCCACTCAACTCAGCCTTGCTTACTGACCTTGCTTACTGAAGGTGAATGCATACCTTGACGCTAGGGGTCTAACTACTAAAAATCAAGTGAGGAATCTGGGTGTGTCTCTAGAATCAGACCTTAGTTTCAGTAGTCATATCAAATCAATAACTAAATCAGCATACTATCATCTGAAAAATATTGCAAGAATTAGATGCTTTGTTTCCAGTCAAGACTTAGAGAAACTTGTGCATGCTTTCATCACCAGCAGGGTGGATTACTGTAATGGACTCCTCACTGGCCTTCCTAAAAATACCATAAGACAGTTGCAGCTCATACAGAACGCTGCTGCCAGGATCCTGAGCAGAAACAGAAAATATGAACACATCACACCAGTCCTCAGGTCTTTACACTGGCTCCCAGTTACATTTAGGATTGATTTTAAAGTATTATTACTGGTATATAAATCATTTAATGGCCTAGGACCTAAATACATTGCAGATATGCTCAATGAATATAAACCCAACAGATCACTCAGATCATTAGGATCACATCAGCTAGAAATACCAAGGGTTCACTCTAAGCAAGGAGAGTCTGCTTTTAGCTATTATGCTGGAACAGCTTCCAGAGGAGATCAGATGTGCTCCTACAGTAGTCACATTCAAATCCAGACTCAAGACACTTCTGTTTAGCTATGCATTTACTGAATGAGCACTGTGCCACTGTGTCCGACTGTTTGTACTGTATTTTATTTTTTATTCTAAACTGTTTTAATTATTCTTATTTCTTTTGATTATTTTAATCTCTTCATTCTTATCTGTTTTAATTATTCCTATTTCTTTTGATTTTTTTTATGTAAATCACTTTGAATTACCATTGTGTATGAAATGTGCTATATAAATAAACTTGCCTTGCCTTGCCTATGCGGCCCCCCAAATAAATGCCACCCCACACCATTACTGACCCACCGCCAAACCAGTCAGGCCGGAGGATGTTGCAGGCAGCAGAACGTTCTCCACGGCGTCTCCAGACTCTGTCACGTCTGTCACATGTGCTCAGTGTGAACCTGCTTTCATCTGTGAAGAGCACAGGGCGCCAGTGCCCATCTTGGTGTTCTCTGGCAAATGCCAAACGTCCTGCACAGTGTTGGGCTGTAAGCACAACCCCCACCTGTGGACGTCGGGCCCTCATACCACCCTCATGGAGTCTGTTTCTGACCGTTTGAGTAGACACATGCACATTTGTGGCCTGCTGGAGGTCCTTTTGCAGGGCTCTGGCAGTGCTCCTCCTGCTCCTCCTTGCACAAAGGCGGAGGTAGCGGTCCTGGTGCTGGGTTGTTGCCCTCCTACGGCCTCCTCCACGTCTCCTGATGTACTGGCCTGTCTCCTGGTAGCGCCTTCATGCTCTGGACACTACGCTGACAGACACAGCAAACCTTCTTGCCACAGCTCGCATTGATGTGCCATCCTGGATGAGCTGCACTACCTGAGGCACTTGTGTGGGTTGTAGACTCCGTCTCATGCTACCACTAGAGTGAAAGCACCGTCAGCATTCAAAAGTGACCAAAACATCAGCCAGGAAGCATAGGAACTGAGAAGTAGTGATGTTACGTCTGACACCGACGCTCCGAAGCTTGCTTCAAACTCGAACGGTCCTTGCAATGAACCACTGCTTCGGAGCTTGTATCATTACGTCATTAGTCACGTGAAAATGACGTCTGAAGCAAACACACTGCTTCACTCCTGTAGTGAACCACCTGACTGCTTTGACAGCCCAATCCAGTGTTGACAGGTTTGAAACCTGGCGGCTGTATTTCTTATAAAAGTGAAGCCAAACCATGGCAACACCGTGGGTTGTAGTAGTCGGTGTTTGGATTGGTGTTATTGTTGAGGAGAGTGGATTGAGTTTATTGTTGAGGAGAGTGGATTGAGTTTATTGTTGAGGAGAGTGGCAAAGAAATAATTACACACACACACACACACATCATGCTTAATGTTTTATTATCAAGGTGAACACATGAAATTCATCAGTGTCTGTAAACTTCACCTACATAAATGAGTTTCACAGCACTAACACTGTTTCAGATTTGATCGCCTCGGTAAACACGTCATGAACGGGGCGTTAACATAAGCCTACTGGCATTTTATGGTTGTCAGCTTTGTTGCATTACATTTACTTCACCAGGAGATGGTGCTGCAATATCTATCTGAATGAAGCTTCGAGTAATGAACCATTTTCGACACAATTGTATCGGAAAGCAATAATGCTTCGAAACGCTTCATTTGGCCATCACTACTGAGAAGTGGTCTGTGGTCACCACCTGCAGAACCACTCCTTTATTGGGGGTGTCTTGCTAATTGCCTATAATTTCCACCTGTTGTCTATTCCATTTGCACAACAGCATGTGAAATTGATTGTCAATCAGTGTTGCTTCCTAAGTGGACAGTTTGATTTCACAGAAGTGTGATTGACTTGGAGTTGCATTGTATTGTTTAAGTGTTCCCTTTATTTTTTTGAGCAGTGTATATATATATATATATATGTATACTCACCTAAAGGATTATTAGGAACACCTGTTCAATTTCTCATTAATGCAATTATCTAATCGACCAGTCACATGGCAGTTGCTTCAATGCATTTAGGGGTGTGGTCCTGGTCAAGACAATCTCCTGAACTCCAAACTGAATGTCAGAATGGGAAAGAAAGGTGATTTAAGCAATTTTGAGCGTGGCATGGCTGTTGGTGCCAGACGGGCCGGTCTGAGTATTTCACAATCTGGTCAGTTACTGGGATTTTCATGCACAACCCTTTCTAGGGTTTACAAAGAATGGTGTGAAAAGGGAAAAACATCCAGTATGCGGCAGTCCTGTGGGCGAAAATGCCTTGTTGATGCTAGAGGTCAGAGGAGAATGGGCTGACTGATTCAAGCTGATAGAAGAGCAACTTTGACTGAAATAACCACTTGTTACAACCGAGGTATGCAGCAAAGCATTTGTGAAGCCACAACACGCACAACCTTGAGGCGGATGGGCTACAACAGCAGAAGACCCCACCGGGTACCACTCATCTCCACTACAAATAGGAAAAAGAGGCTACAATTTGCAAGAGCTCACCAAAATTGGACAGTTGAAGACTGGAAAAATGTTGCCTGGTCTGATGAGTCTCGATTTCTGTTGAGACATTCAGATGTTAGAGTCAGAATTTGGTGTAAACAGAATGAGAACATGGATCCATCATGCCTTGTTACCACTGTGCAGGCTGGTGGTGGTGGTGTAATGGTGTGGGGGATGTTTTCTTGGCACACTTTAGGCCCCTTAGTGCCAATTGGGCATCGTTTAAATGCCACGGCCTACCTGAGCATTGTTTCTGACCATGTCCATCCCTTTATGGCCACCATGTACCTATCCTCTGATGGCTACTTCCAGCAGGATAATGCACCATGTCACAAAGCTCGAATCATTTCAAATTGGTTTCTTGAACATGACAATGAGTTCACTGTACTAAAATGTCCCCCACAGTCACCAGATCTCAACCCAATAGAGCATCTTTGGGATGTGGTGGAACGGGAGCTTCGTGCCCTGGATGTGCATCCCACAAATCTCCATCAACTGCAAGATGCTATCCTATCAATATGGGCCAACATTTCTAAAGAATAATTTCAGCACCTTGTTGAATCAATGCCACGTAGAATTAAGGCAGTTCTGAAGGCGAAAGGAGGTCAAACACAGTATTAGTATGGTATTCCTAATAATCCTTTAGGTGAGTGTATAAATATATATAATTTTATTTTGTATTTCCGTGTTTTTGTCTTTGTTTTACCCTTTTTATAAATGTGTTAATCTGTATAAAATGTAAAGGAAGCACCATTACGAAAGTTACGTTGTGTAAGCATGAGGGTAAAGCTGATGTAATTTCCGGGCGCCCTCTCTCTTTCGCGGGATGTCATGGCGATGAGAGGCACGGACCAGAGATTCTCCTGGTTAGAAGTGTCTGATGGGGTCTGTTATATTTTGATACAGAAACTGAGAGAAGCCGAGAGTAAATCACATCACAACTGCATCATCGTGTGGGATCTCTTTTATTAAGAAGACAACACAACGCAGACGGAAACCCAATACACTAGGAGTGAGGAACCTGCTTTACAGATTTGCAGACACATGTTTTTCACACATCACTCAAACACAGAACCAGGAAACAGGAAACTCTTCAGTTCAGAGAAACTGAAACTGAAGTGCAGTTGAGCGTATGTTTGTGTCTCTGTATTCAAGCAGTAAAATGGCAGAAGCCAGAATTTCTCAGGATGAGTTCCAGTGTTCAGTGTGTCTGGATCTCCTGAAGGATCCAGTGACCACTTCCTGTGGACACAGTTTCTGTAAGATCTGTATTACAGGCTGCTGGGATGAGGAGGATGAGAAGAGAGTCTACAGCTGCCCTCAGTGCAGACAGACCTTCAGTCCAAGACCTGCTTTAACTGAAAACACCATGCTGGCTGAAGTGGTGGAGAAACTGAAGAAGACTAAACTTCCTGCTGACTGTAATGCTGGAGCTGGAGATGTGCAGTGTGACGTCTGTGATGGAAGAAAACGCAAAGCCGTCAAGTCCTGTCTGGAGTGTCTGAACTCTTATTGTGAGAATCACCTTGAACAACATGAGAGTTTCTTTAAAAGAAAGAGACACAATCTGACTGATGCCACTGGACGACTGCAGGAGATGATCTGCCAAACACATGATAAACTCCTTGAGGTTTTCTGCCGCACTGATCAGAAGTTTATATGTCTGCTGTGTACGATGGATGAACATAAAAACCACGACACTGTATCAGCTGCAGCACAGATGACAGAGAATCAGGTATGAACTTTAAACTAGACACTGATGAAATAATGTTGACACTATTTATATTGGCACTCATATGATCAGGTAACATCATTCACACTGTTGACTTCACCAGAAGTGAACAGATGCGGCGGACTTTCACTGCTGAGCGTATTAGTGCTCTGCATTGAACTTAACAGAAAATACGGTGAAAATACACCGTAAACATATTTACCACCACAAACTTTTGTAAAACAGGCTTTGATGAAGCAACATAAAATAATATAACATATTCACAGATTGTTTGACAAAATATATCTCTGTCAAGAATAACACAAGTTAAATGCAGTGATAGACAAAAACACTAACTGGAAAAGGTAAGACTTGGATAGGAAAATAGGATCTGGCAGGGCAGGACACAAGGGGATCATTTGACGATGATCCGGCAAAGGACTGCAACCACAAAAAGAATAAATAGAAGCAAAACAAGGCAGGTGATTAGGGAAAACAGGTGGGGCAAATGAACCAATGATCTGTTAACAAAATGGGCGGGGAAAACACTATCCCCATGCTGTTCAGCACAAGACAAAACATAACATGAAAGCATGCGGCCGATGGTGCTACACAGAACACAACACCACACACGGACAGAAGAGCGTATGGCCAAACACACGGAGCATGAATGTCCAGACCCGGCACAGAACTGAAGCCAAACTAGACATGAATGCTGGAATCCCAACACCACGCTTCGAACATGAAACAATACACACAGACAAGAGAACGTACGCCTCACACAAATACAAGACAATACTGAAGTGTCATGGCTCTGGCACAAAACCAAGAATAAACTAGACCAAAGTGACAGAACCATGACAGATATGTGACAGCATTATAAACTGACATCTCTGTTATTGATTTGTGGTGCAGAAGCAGCTGAAGGAGACGCAGAGGTCGTTCCAGCAGAGGATCCAGCAGAGAGAGAAAGATCTTCAGCAGCTGAGAGAGGCTGTGGCGTCTCATAAGGTGAGTCTGGAGAAGAAGAGAAGTTTGAGACGTCTCAGTCAGGACTCACTGAAGCTCACTGTGTGATTGTGATGTGTGTCCTAACAGCGCTCTGCACAGACAGCAGTGGAGGACAGTGAGAGGATCTTCACTGAGCTCATCCGCTCCATTGAGAGAAGCTGTTCTGAGGCGACACAGCAGATCAGAGATCAGGAAAAGACTGCAGTGAGTCGAGCTGAAGGACAACTGGAGCGACTGGAGCAGGAGATCAATGATCTGAGGAGGAGAGACGCTGAGCTGGAGCAGCTTTCACACACACAGGATCACATCCATTTCCGGCAGGTAACAGAGATCTAGAAGAACATAGTGGACTTGAGCAAGAGACTCAGAGAAACATTTCATGAGAGCAGAATGAGCTGTTGACTGACGTGTTGTGTTATATAATCTTAAAGGAGAACTCCGGCGCGAAATGAACCTTTGGTCTAATTACACATTGTTATCGGCGTTCGTGGTTCGACTGGTCGAGGCTGTTTTTCAAAGATGGCTCCTGCCTGTATACGCGAAGTGGACTGTGTTTATAAAATATCTTCTTATTAAACTGTCTGGACACTGACAAAGTTCTCAATGCTTCGGTTTGCAGGTAGGGACCCTCATTATGCTACCGTGTTAGTGTGGGGCTATTTTGAGCTTTATTAGTGGTGTTAACTAGCGATTTTTATTTGTCATTACTCTATGCCCTATATACTAGCGTTATAGGCTAAACAGTTTTTAGAGATAAAACTCTTTACATTCGATAATCATGAAAACAAATCTCAGAGAACGGTTGACTAGGTAACAATGTGTAATTAGACCAAAGGTTCATTTTGCGCCGGAGTTCTCCTTTAAGGTAGATCCTCGTCTGAGCATATTGCTTTAAAATAGTGTTAGGGGAAAACAGTTAAAGACCCAGAACCAGATATGACGAATGAAGGCCCGGAGTCAGAATTATAATAAATTAAAGAAAAGATTTGTAATCACTCATTAATAATCACTCATTTACTAAAGATAGTTTGCAGTTTCATCAGCAGAAGTCAGCTTCAAGACTCTCACAGGAGTTCGTAGGCCACCCCCTTACAGTTACAAATAGGGGTGGGACGATACAGGTACCTCACGATTCAATTCTGTGGCGATATGTGGTCCACGATATGATAATATCACGATTCGCGATATCTACGATATTCAATATATTGGAAGAAATTTCATCAACGATATATCACGATATATGTGACTGAAAAGAAAGATTAACAATGCATGTGTACATATTGAGAATTAATATACCGTAAAACTTCCCGGGTTTTTATTTTCCCAAATCGTCGAACTGCACCGGCTTGTATTCGAGACAGGCCTTTATAATTTAGTGTTGAGATGTTGTTCATTGAGTTTAGGCGAGTCTCTAATCTCTAAAAATCTCCAAATGCTCCACGTGAAACTGCGGTCTTCCGACCTTTTACTATCGTGTCAATTGATTTTGATTAATATGCGCGAGGGAGAGAGCAAGACAGAGCTCGTGTTGTTTGAAGACGTGAAAGTGCGCGCGCGCGGCCGTTGCGCTCTCTCTGCTCGTAAAACCCAAAGTGTCTCCACACTTTAGAGTGGAAACTAGCGGGTGGGTCTTTGATTCGTTTTATATTGTTTTCCGCCATTCTTCTCGCTTCTCTCTGTTGTTGTTAGTTAACTTGTGTTCTTCACCGGCCGCTGTTTGCGCCACTTTACCCCTATTTGCTCGAACAGCGCCCCCCGCAAACAGAATGGTAGATATTGGGTAGTGACAGTGACACTGACAACGGGTAAATTAATCATTTTGTGTTGTAATAAAATATCGATATTGGGCGTTAGTGTATCGATTATTTATTGCGACAGAGAGCACAACAATATATTGCAATATCGATTTTTTTCCCCACCCCTAGTTACAAAGATCACAGCAGTTATACCATTTCCAAGGTCTAAGCTACGTCATTGCTTACAGGTTGAATGATTCTCATTGGCTAAGTAATAGATAAACAGTCATTTTCCACACATATACAGATAGACGGAAGCATATCTTCATCGATTATGCAGCTGACGGACCCTGAAGTTAGGCACGTCGTGACCAGGATTTGGATTTGGCCAGGCTCTAACTATAAACAGGAGAGTCCTCCCAAAACATCAAGATAATGCGTTCTTTCTCCCAATGAGAGCTACACTTTAGTCTAACTGGAAAGTAACGCTTTAACAGAGAAATGGTGCCTTAAACTATTGGCTTCAATGACCCCTATATGTTTTAACACTTTTTTTAAGACCTTTCTCAAACATTTAATTTTTGACGAGCTAAACGAGCAAGCACTGTTACTGCATTCAGATATTAAATACAGACATTAAAGTATACATGAAAAGAACATTTCAATAATCACATTGGTAACTTATATAACAAAGTAAAATCTCACAAGCCTAGAGAAGTCATTCAACTCATTTGATATTTAGAAGGAAAAATATTGATTAATACATTGATTATAATCACTCATTCATTACATATACATTGAAGCAGCAGTGGATTCCAATCCACCCCCTTAAATAGACTACATTTATGAATGCATTTCAGCTCTGGAAATCTCTTAGGAAACATGCTCTGAGCTCTTTCTTCTGGGAGATATATTTAGCTGCTAAGCTCCACTATTGCAAAGAACAGTTCAAAACTTCCAGAATATTTAAACTTTTTGGTAACACTTTATTTTGATAGTCCACCTTAGACAGTCTACTAACTATAAGTAACTTTGCAACTACATGTAAACTAACTTACATTAGAGTATTAGTAGACTGTATGCTTAATATCTGCAAACACTTTATTTTGATGGTCCCCCAACAGATATTCTACTGACTGTAAGTAACTTGGCTACTACAAATCATCTTATTCTATACCTATAACCTAACAGTCTACTGACAGTCTACTACAGTCTACTAATAGTCTCAGGGTTAGCATTTCAACCAGTTCACACGCTCACATGCCACACCTTGTATTCCACACGCTGAGAAGTAAGGGATAACTTGTCCCTCTATACAATTAATGGACGAAGCGCAGGCAAACGGAGGGAAGTACTCTGGCGAGTTCATAGCTGCTGTCACGAGTTATTCAGAGTTATATGCCACCTACCAGCCAATCAGAAATTAGAATTTGTTGTTTCCGGGTAAATTACGTGTTCTCGCTGCAACCTTGTTCGTTACTAGTCAACACACACACAGAGCTGAGAGCTGATGATGAGGAATATAGCCAAATTTGTGCTAAATTATTTTTGATGCAGTCAAAAACTCTCCAACTGCTTTTAAAGGGGTCATCGGATGCAAAATTCACTTTTATATGTGTCTTTGCTAGGGGTGGAACGGTACATGTATTCGTACCGAACCGAAACGGTACGGGCGTCACGGTTCGGTGCACGAATTTACACGGAGAATACACGGTATAAAAATAAATAAAACTCGCGTGGAAATTAATTAATGTAATGCGGAACTACTGTTAGATACGCGGGTTCTTTAGGGACACATAATCTGTACCATCGGCTTTGCTCTGAACGCGCGTTCACTTCAAACGTTGGCTTATACTCGCGTCCAATTCGCTTTGGACTAGCGTCGAACAAGACGCGATAGACGCGAATTTAACGCTCTATTCGCGTTTGGTGTGACCACATAATGAACAGGCTGCGATGTCAAGATTGCAATGCTGGAGTGTGTGTGTTTATGTGTGTGTGTGAGAGAGAGGCGCGGCCGCGATCGAACAGTGGAAACATAAAAAACATACTCCGTCATTTTGTTCATACAGATCATTAAACCTGCAAAGTGTTTACTTATATTTGTGTACACTCGCAATAAAACACAACATTGTCCTTTTGTCACACTGTAAACTCTTGTCAAACTGTAACCTACAACTGTCACCAAAATCTCTCTCTCTCTCTCTCTCACACACACACACACACACACACACACACACACACACACACACACACACACTGTTTTAAAAGCAAAACATATTTATCCAACTCCATTTCAAAACAGTCTGTGGGTCCCATCTTTTGGACATTCATCGCATTGGTTTTCATTTCTCGTCCTCGGAGCACTAATCTTAAACATTCTACATTGATTAAAAAAGAAAATCGAATGCGTTATTAATGGTAGTATTATTTTATACAGAAATCAATTATTTATAATTCAGATGAGAATAATGTTACATTGTTAATTAATAATGTTAATTAAAATTAAGGAAAACAAATATATTGATCTGAAATATAGCAAATTAATTTTAAATTAATTCAGGTACAATTACCAAACATATCGCAAGGTCTTTTTGTCTTTTTATTAATTTAATTAATAAACTAATTATATAAAACTATTGTCAGTGCACTACAAATAAACTGGTTCTATGCCTTTATTAATAAAACTTATTTAAAAAATACAATGCCTTCTGCATTTTTGTTTTGCTTTTCCCTCCATTGTACCGAAATCGCACCGAACCGTGATGTCTGAACCGAGGTATGAACCGAACCGTGACTTCTGTGTACCGTTCCACCCCTAGTCTTTGCTGTGTGTGGACACAACCACCATACAATTAAAAAAATCCTCAAAAATCATAAACACTCCCAATAATCAAGCCGTTTGGATTTTCCGAGCAATATAATGTCATATTGTTCATGGCAAGTATTAGCATATTTACGGCCTCAGCCATTTCTATAGACCTTATGCACCAGAGAAACAAGTGCGCAGCCATCTGTAAAATACTGTCTTTGAACTTCCGTTTTTGCGGTCGCTCTGTATATTTCTATGGCATTGCTGTCGAGGAGTAATTAGCTGGTGAAGTGGATTTACTTATTGTAGAGTTAACGAAAGTTGTCATGAGCATTGTAATGTTTTAAGCAGATGTCTTAACAAATGTCAATAGACCGGGAAGATTTTAAAACGAGGCATTCATTCATAAATACGCAAGATCGCTGTGAAAATACAGACCGGAAGACAAAAGACAACAAACGCAGCGCTGAAAAGGGGCGGTGGCTACATAAGGTCTATATTGTCCACCAAGGCAGGTTGCTAAGGCAGCACTTTATGTGTCTTGTATTGACACGCCCCATGGCAGTTGCTTATTATCATTTAAAGAGACATGGTCGAAATGGGTCGCTGTGAACAGAGCTATTTTTGAGAAGGTAAAAAGCGTATTGTTTTATACAACCATTGAGGAATTTTAAACAAAATATGTTACAAACTTACATGAAAACCCTAAAGAATTATAACAACTTGTGGAAAATGGGCATCCGATGATCGCTTTAAAGGTGAATTGGTTTGAGCAGATTTGGAAGGCTGTCTACGATTGCCAAAATGGTTTTAGTTCTTCCCCAGTCGCATGCAGATGCAGAGAGTGTTCTCCATGGTGGGTTTGAACAAAACCAAAATTAGTAACAGTTTGGCTATCATCCATCATGACTGTGAAAATGGCTGGCCTTGAGCCACAGTGCTTTAAGTGGGAGCCCCCTACCCCTGTCATTAAGACATCAAAATGTGCAACAAACACTTACAACACAAAACACCATTCATAAGCTAAATGTGTAAACACACAAACACACCTTAACATACATGCTCAGGGCAAGTTGTTATGACTGAGTATGTACATTGAGAACTGCGTTCAGTTCAAATTTCTTTTTATTTTTTGATACATTTTATTTTTTGAAATATATGAACTGCTTGCAAAAATTTGAGCGAATTTGGTGGGGCCGAGGGGCCGCTGCTGCAAATATTTGGGTGGCTCCTCCCCTAACAGATCTCGCTCCAAACTTTTGATACAACTTGAGGGCCCTGTACTCTAATGGTACTGATCCACTTTTGCGACACGACTGAAGCGTGGTGTCGCACGCCTCTCCACATTTGTAAGTTGATGGGCGTTTCTCAAGTTTACCGCTATGGGCGTGGTTTTGACCCAGCGGACAGTCTAGAACAAAGGCCCCTCGAGAGACTACTTCTATTGGATAGACGCGTCGCGTTTGACGGATTCATTTGCATAAAGATGGGCATCGGCCAGCTTTTTGACGTGCAGCATTTTTCCAAATGAAGCGCCGCCTTCCCGGGATGCTTTGCGGGCACGTTAAAGTCGCGTGACGTCACCCATAGGAATAAAGTGGAGTGCGGCGCGACTGAAGTGTCGCACGGACAAGTGGATCAGTACCGTAATGAGAGTTAGTTGACATGTAGTTGCAAAGTTATTTAAACTGTAGTTAGTAGAATGTTTAAAGTGGACTATCCAAATAAAGTGGAACCAACTTTTTTAAACCAAATTTTCCCTTCTGATTTCTTACATCATGGTGGAATTGATGGTACCAATTTTGAGTAATGTTCACCAAAGTTGCTTCAGGTGATCTTCAAATCTGATGAATTTGCAGTTTCATAATTCGTTCCCTTGAGGATCACACCATGAGAATCTCCAGCTAGATCACATGGTGCACCACCCAGATGACTCCCTGTGCGCCTTATATCACGCCGGACGCAAAGAGCAGACTGAGGCGTGCCTGTCTGTGGTTCCCCCTTCACAGTGGGTGAAGAGGAGGAGGATCCCTAACACGGTGGTCCCGGTGCTAGCACTCATTGACCTACATATTCTGGAATGGAGTCTTATTCTCCACCGGTCCCACCAGGCCTAATGAACTCTCTGGTTCTGAATAATTCCCTGGCCCTCCTTCCTCTGCTGGTCCCACCCAGCCTCCTGGCTCCTTTGTGTCCGCTGGCCCCGTCCAGCCTCAAAGCTCCTGCGTTCCAACCATGGAGGTCATCAACAGTCCTGTCAACCTTGCAAGTTCTGTCCAACTCCTCAGCTCCTCCTTTTCTACTGGTTTTATCCAGCTTCCATCCAGGATTTACCACGGACTTCCGGACCTCTGACTGCGCCTCAGCCCTCCACCCCTTTGGCTTGACGGGGCTTCCAGTTTTACTCCGGTTCCTCCTTCGTCCTTGCTCCCACCGGATCTGCCTCTGTCTTTTCTATAATTCTATCATTTCAATTTATGCAATAAAGCTAAGATGATGACTGATACATTTGATTTAGATAATGGGTAACACTTTATAATAACGTTCAATAATAAGTAATTTTTAAGTTATTAGTTAATGATGAACTAATCATGTTCAAAACATGACTATACGTCTATAAATGACTAATAAAAGATAAATGTTGTACAGGGTAAATGACTCAAGATTTACTTGCAACGCACAAACCGTTTATTAATGGAAAAACATAAAACCAGTATAGCCAGAGTATGAATGTCGTGGGTGCCGCTGGAGATCCTCTGCAGTGCAGGGACTACAATGGGCAAAGGATGAAGGAATCCAAGGCAGAAGTCCAGAGAGAATAATCCAACAATGGCTGGTAGAGTCCACAAATGAGTAGGAACTGGAGACAGGAGACTCTGAACAAAGAACAGGCTGTGAGCATAACAACGATCCGACAAGGAATGAACAAACGCAGACCCAATATTTAGCGTGGCTGATGAGCTGCAGCTGAAGCCGATCAATAATCAGTGATTAGGGGTTGCCCAAGAAACACAGGTGACAGCACACAAACAATCACAACAATCCACAGACCCACAACCGTGACAAAAAATAGTAAATCATGAAATAATCAAACAGATCATGACAAATATGACTTTCCCACGACAAAACTTAGTGAACCAAACATGTCCCCTCCCGGTCACCGTAGATTATAATTTATTGATGTATCATGAATTTGTAAGACAAACATGCAGGTCTGCTCAAGCACTATTTTTTAGAAGCATAATTTATTTGATTTCAAGTGAATAAACATTTATGAATGACGTACAGTCAGGAGAAAAGTGTTAGCAGATAAGGTTATGATTATTTAAAATATTTCATACAAGATAGATGTTGGTATATTACTGACCTTTAGATTTGTGAATGGATCACTTTCATGGTTTCTGGACAAAAGTTTTTTTTAAATGTGGTACTAACCAACCCAACATGGTATTTTGCTGTTGCAGTCATTCATTTTTTAAATATATAATTTATATAATTATCTATAAATATATTTATAATATAACTATTTCACCTGTGTCTAGAAACAGCCCTCGATGTGACACCACTGATGGGCTTGATCTTTTACATTTATGTTATTGGTAGATGCTTTATCATCCAAATGATTTCCTAGAAAGTTTACATATGGTGTACATTTCTGAACTCCAAACTGTAGAATTTGTAGCTCTAATGTCATACAATGGATATGAGAAGGGCTGGTTTGAGTAGAGTTACTAAAGAGTAACAAGAGCCACACAAATCTGACAGTAGTGTAGATTGATGAAGTTTGGAGGTGATGAGCTTTTATTTCTGTTTTCTATAGAGTTTCCAGTTTCTCTCAGCTCCTCCTGAATCTACAGACGTAAATGACAATCCCTTCAGTTCTCTCTTCTCTTTTGATGGTGTGAGAGAATATGTCCTTCAGCTGAGAGACAAACTGGAGAATTTCTGCAAAGAAGAACTCAAGAAGATCTTTGACAGAGGTAAAGTCCTGGAGATTAATCTGCTCTCAGAAATGATCCTCCATCATCTCATATCATATTAGAAATGTCTTAGGAACAGATGCAAGGATCATTTTCTCTTGACATGATAATCACACTCTTCACATCTGTTGATTTCCACAGTCACTTTCACCAACATTGTTCCCAAGACCAGGAACGACTTCCTACAATGTAAGTCACTAAGAAAACAAGCAGAAAAACTCACTGAATGTGTTCATGTTCTTCCCGTAGAAGAAATAACACTGAGTAACACTTTATTTTAAGGGTCCATAATTATGCGGTAGTGAAGCATTAACACATCCATAGTTAATGGTTAACTTTACATAAATTAAAGGCATATTTGTCATTATTTATGCAGTAGTTAAGCTTTAACAAACCAGCAAGTAATAATGAACTGAACATAGGATAAATAAGCAGAAATAAGTCAATAATTAATGGTTAACTGAATGGACAGTAAATGCCTTCTAGGTCTGTGTACTTTTGCGTCCATTCCCTTTTCCTTTTTTAACCCGTAATTGAAAAACGAAAACGGTTGAACACCAGAATTAGAACTTGAACTGTACACACCAAATACTGTGCAAAAAAATAAAATATTGATGTATTTTCAGATTTTTGTTTATGACTTTTTGCCCCTTTATTAAACATTTAAAATATTCACAAATTAATATGGAAAAAATACAAAGAGGTGATTATGATCATTGCCTGAGACGGGAAGTTTTGGACTCTCAATAGCTGTAACGACAGCAGTACAAAGTTACTACCGTAATAAATAAAGTAATGCAATTTTAACGTAATATGTATATAATATAGGCTATGTGACTTGTGGAGTTATCTCGAAAAAGCTGTATGCATCACGGTAGTAGTCATTGTCATTTTCGGATGATATGTCCCTTCCAAATCCAACTCTTAATGAATTGAATTAATTAATTACATAAAATCATTATCCAGAAGTAAAAAATATATAGTTTACTGTATATATCAGCAGTTGATGCTGTGCTTTTGCGACATCTTTTTCTCATTATATAGCTATGGGTATGCATCTATGCTTTGAGTCTTATAAATTGCAAAAATCTCATTTTTAGTGCAAAAAAAATTCTACATGACTAATAATAATTGATGTGTATTTGACTCGGAAGATGACTTAACAACCTACACTGCTGGATGGCAGGTTTAAACAAATCTGATTACACAGTAACCTAGGGCAGAGGTTCCCGAAGTGTGGGGCGACGTTACCATTGGGGGGGGGGGGGCGAGTGAAAAGCTGACAGGGAAAATTAGGAATCCGTGTATCATTCGTTCAGTAGTTTTTTAATTTAATATTGAAAGTAGAAAAATTTGAAAACGGTTCCTTTTTGTTTTGTTCATTTTTCCAAAAAACCTGAAAAACAAGTATTCAGCTTGATCTTTTGTTTTTCGTTCTGAGGTAGAAAAATTAATAAACAGCTGGAATATTCGATTTCTAAACATGGGCAGGAATGAAACGCCCCTTTCCTCTGATTGGTCAGCCGGAGATCAAATTGTTCCATCATCGGTTCTTTCTCAGTCCCGCACTGCAGAATAATAGTCATTCGTTGTGCAGATTCTTAATGCGTTTATTGCAACTGCATTTCATCTTTTTCTCATCAAACAACCAGACTAACGAATGGCTCGACACAACCCGTACCGGGGAAGAGACAGGGCTTTCTTCCGTGTAGATATAAATTCACCTATGCTTTGCATCAGCTGGGTATACAGGGTAAATGACGGCTGTTAGCCTACCATGGTCTCCCTTTATAAATTAAGATATAAATCAATATAATTAGTTGTAAATTAAATATTTTTAACACTAATACAAAAGGAATAGAATAATGCATTGGCTATAAAATAGGCCTATATTAACGTTAACGCATGAACTGTCATGCAGACTGACTATCTAACAACCGGAGAACAGAGAACAACAGAGATATTAAAATACATACTCTTCTGAGTTTTATGATGTAGGCCTTGTGTTTTATTAAAATGTATTATAATTTATATCTCAAGGATGCGCGCTTGTGCGCGTCACATCGTTGTAAAAAACGCATTTTATTATTAGCCTATTCAGAAATAGTGTAAAAGACCGGTAAATAAAATACAACATTAACATTATAAACACTATTAATAACATATAGGCTATGCGTATTTTACTTCCCCGCCTGTGTCAAATCCTTAAATGAATTGTATTCAGAAAACAACAAGAATGAAAAAAGAGGACGACTTCCGGTGTGGCGATGTAGGAGAACGCAGCAGAAAGGACGGTCTCCCGATTTTTTCCTTTTCATACACACCTTTTGCAGTGAATTTCACTTTTAAACCGATTAAGCAACTAAGGAAGAGTTTACAAACTAACTGGTGCATAATGAGTAACGTTAATCCTAAACAGAGAAGTGCAGCGTCGCAGTCGAAAAAGGCTAGCGTCGCTAGCAAACTAGCGAGCATGGTAGCCGTCGTCTCAAGATGAAAATCAAGATTCGGAGGGAAACATGGACGACTCTCTGTCCATGACACAACTCATTGCTGAACTAGCGAAACAACGGGAAGTTCTTAAGGAGGACATGGCTGCCCTGATACTGAACTCTGTTAAACCTCTCCAAACATCGGTGGATGCGTTACGCGAGACTGTAAACTCCTTTCAGAGTCGTCTGACATCCACAGAAACCATCGCAGGAGAAAACTTTGAACGTCTTGTGGCTGCGGAATCGACAATCAGCTCCCTTAAGGCTCAAAACACTCTGCTACTGGATCGTCTGGACGACCTGGAGAACAGATCGCGCCGATCTAATCTACGTATCCTGAACGTACCTGAGGGGAGCGAGGATGGCAAAGACCCCACCGTATTCGTTTCAGAACTGCTGGCGGAAGCCATGGCTGAGGTATTCACGAGCCCACCACCGCTGGACAGAGCGCACCGCTCTCTCGGGCCTAAGCCTATAGCGGGTAAGCCCGCGCGTGCCTTTGTGCTGTGTTTTCACCGTTATAGCGACCGGGAGCTTGCCTTCAGATGGGCCAGACAACATGAGGTGAAGTTCAAGGGAAATATGCTGAGGATCTATCCTGATTTGAGCGCCGCCCTTGCTAAAAAGCGCGCCACGTTTAACCCGGTGAAACGAGATCTGTATCAGCAGGGCATCCGATTTCGGCTGCTGTACCCCGCACGCATCAAAGTCATGTTCAAGGGAGATAACCTCATTTTCGAGACTCCAGACGAAGCAAGTGACTTTTATGAGAAACAGGTGCTTGCTCAGAAGGGAAAGTGAGATTTCGTTCTTATTAAAATGACGGGACTTGTTCATTTGAGAGACTTCTTCATAAAGTAGACATGTAACATTGTCCGTCACCAGGGGAGTGGTCGTGACTAAAGTATTCGGGAGTTTTGGGAGTTCGTTCATTTTTTTCTTCCATATTTGCATGACCTGTTTGCGACCTGCGGGTATCTTGGACAGATTATATTCAGAGGTACTAATTTTTTTTTTTTTTTTTTTTATCTTGTATGTATCTATCACTAGATGGTTAATAGGTGGTAGTACCAACAGTTCAAATGCTCTGGGATATACCCTTATATAGTATTCGTTACTTATTTTATAGTCTTCTAAGTTCGCTGTTATGTTTGATAATCGGGAGACTTCCACAGGGAAATCTATCGCGAGACCAACGTATAATGGGGGAGTCAGCATATCGGAAGCATAATAGTACAGGGTTACAGCCTTCTTGTATAGGGAAGGGGTTGGTTGGGGAAGGAAGGTTTCTTACTTTTTTTTTCATTTATTTTTTTCTGTTTGATATTTTGTTTGTTTTATATTGCCTTACTTACTGGGTGCACACTGCAGTTTTTGGTTTAGACTTTACAACTATATACCTTGACGGAGACAACACACTGTTTAAATTTTATATCAACTACTCTTATACGACTAATAATCTATAAACAAGAAACATATTATGGGATTCACAAAAATTATTTCATGGAACATATCGGGATGTAACCATGTAATAAAGCGTAAGAAAATCCTCACCTATCTCAAGCAAAACAAATCAGACATAGCTATGCTGCACGAAACTCATCTAAGTGCTGAGGAATCTGAAAAATTTAAAAGGGGATGGATTGATCAGGTATACTCAAGTACGTTTAACACTAGGAGTAGGGGCTTTGCTATTTTGATTAGAAAGGGCCTAGACTTTAAAGTCCACAAAGCATATAATGACCAGGAAGGCAGGTGGATAGCCTTGGACTCTAGCTTAGAAGGACAGAAAGTTACAATTATGAATATTTATGCCCCAAATGTGATGTCTCCTGACTTCTTTAACGAAATTTGCAATATTATTAGAAATATTGGTAATCATAATATAATACTTGGTGGGGATTTCAACCAAGTCAGGAATGCACAGCTTGATAAGTCAAGCTGCAAACAGGCCATACCTGTAATGTACACAGCCGTTGATACTATGGTAGATGAATGTGGCCTAATAGATATATGGCGTACACTTCATCCTCTAGAGAAAGATTTTACATTCTTTTCCCATCCTCATGGGTCATACTCAAGGATTGATTATATCCTAATCTCAAAACAGTTGGTGAGTCAGGTTCAATCTGCTTCAATTGGGAATATTGTTCTCTCAGATCATGCCCCAGTAGATATGGTCCTTACCACATCGAACTATAACAAAAACACAAGATGGCGCTTTAACAACTCACTATTGCAAACTGAGACCTCATGTTCCTTTATACAAGCAGCAATAGATGAATACTGGCTTTACAATGACGGCTCTGTCCCTGATCCTGGTATAACATGGGACGCCTTTAAGGCTTTCCTGAGGGGACGGCTTATCCAACACTGCTCGCTACGTAAACGCCTGGAACGTGAAAAACTAGTCAAATTAGAAGAAAAGATTGGGACCCTGAAAAAACAACATATTAATCATCCAGACCCAGTAACTCTTAATAACTTAAACAGTTTAAAATTGGAACTAAATGACATTATACAGAAAAAAGCGGAATTTGCTCTATTTTGCACAAAACAAAATTATTATGAAAAAGGTGAGAGAGCAGGTAAATATTTAGCCCATAGAGTGAAACAGCTTAGTACTCAAAACTTAATTCCTTCTATCTTTGATGACAAAAATAAACTGACTACAGAAACCGGGGAAATTAATAAGGC